CGTGAAACGCAGCCTCGACGAGGCCATGGCGCATTCCGATGCGAACCCCCCCCTCTGTCAACTCTTCCCCGCCTTCGTGGAGGCCTCGAAGGAGGAGCTGCGGCTTTCCCGGCTTACCCTGCAACGGGAGCTGCTCACCTGCGCGTTTGACGAGCGCAGCGCCTACGGCCTTCAGATCAACGGCCTGCGAAACGAAAACGTCGACCTCAAACTCCGCATCACGCAGCTGGAGAACACCATCCGGGAGCGGGATGAGTATATCTACGAACGGCGGTTTTTAAGTCGGTATTCTCGCCGAATCCCCTCCCCGGCGGCCGCGCGTTCGGTCGCGCGCCTGGGCGGCAATGGCGAGGGCGGGGAACGCGCCGGAAGCGGCACCGCCACGCCGCTCAAGGAGGAATCGAGCGAGGGCGAACCCCTCACCCCCCGCCCGCGCGACGTCCCCTTTACGCTCAAAACGGAGCTCGGGATCGATCTGAACCGGAGCACGCACGAGATCCTCCACGAGCTCGCCGCGGTGGGGATGAACCTCAAACACCAACTCAACGCCGCCGTCGTCCGGCTCCATCAGGCGACGAGCGTGAAGGAGTGGATGACGGAGGAGACGATGATGGAGATCGACGCCGCCCGCCACGGCGACCGCGGCGGACTCCTCCCGACCTATCCGGTGGAGCAGTGGAATTTCACCCCGCATTTTCTCCGCACGACGATCACCCCGGCGACGGTGAATCTGCGCTGGACCGGGGCCGCCGTCGCGCACCTGTTGTATCGTTTTTTTTCCCGCTTTGAGGTCCTTCGCGAGGCGGCGCGGGGGGTCCACGACGCGCGGATGCTCCAGCCGCGCGTGTTGCAGCAATTCGAACGCCGCGAGGCCCCGCTCGTTCGGCTCGACGCGACGATGGCGGAGATGCGGCGCGACGCCGCGGTCGTGCCCATCGGCTACGTGGTTTCCCAATTCATCCGCGAGACGTTATCCGGGGTGGAGATGAGCCCCCGCGGCGGCGAACGATCCGGAGGAGGGGGTTTCGGGATTCCCCCTCACCTCACGCACGCCCTCGCGCTTCCCGGGACGCTCCAGACGACCGCCGCCGACGGCACCCCGCTCAGCGCGGAGTTCACGCAATTCGCGTACAACCTTTGGTGGGCGGCGCGGCGGCATCGACGGACGCAGCCGCTTTGCCAGCTCTTCCTCGACGTCGTGGATGGGGTGCTGCCGGTGGCGGTGTTTGGGGTTTCCGAGGCCGTCCTCGCGGTCGCGCGGGGGGGTTTTCAGCACCTCGACGTCGATGGCAGCGGGATGCTGTCGTATTGGAAACTCCTCGGCGCGGTGGTGAAGATGACAACCGACCTCCACGCGCAGGTCGCGCGGAATGGGGGGTGGATGGTCGTACAAACGTTTCGCGAGAACGAATGCCCGTTGGTGGGGGGTCGCGTCTCGCTCGCCGCCGTGATCGCCGACGAAACGCACTACGACGCCCACCCCGCGCCGCTTTCCAACCTCTCCCGCTCCACGAGTGAACGGGATTTGGACGGGGGGCGGATCAAAGCCGGGGTGAGGCTGTCTTCCGTGCAAAAAAAACCCCAAGCCTCGTCGGGGATGAGTCGAAAACCCCCTCCAAACGGGGCCTCCATCCTCATGCGGTTCTTCCGCAGCCTCGTCTTCCAGCGCTACGAGCATACCTATCGCCTGGTCGAGGAGCTCGTTGGGCAATTCGTCGAGGAAAGCGACGTCGTCTTCGGCCTGTATGTGATCTCCGTCAGCGAGGTGCTTCGCCTGACGGCGCGTCTGAAAGAAGACCCCGAGGAGGATCTCAATCGCGAGCTGAGCACGACGTTTACGGAGACGGATCTGCAGCGCATCGCCTCCTTGCCGGCCCACGCGGTTTTCCGCGGGAGTCAACTTCACGCCGCGCGGGAGTCCCCGACGGGGAAACCCCTCGACAGCGACGACGACGACGACGATCGAGGCGGGACCCCAAAACGACCACCGCCGTCCTTTTCGCGAAATTACATCGATATGGTCAAGGAGCGGCGCCTCGAGGAGCGTTTGCACAAGGGGAATCCCTACGCCGTCCTCGGGTCGTTGATTGAAGAGGTGCTGGAAGGGCTCCCACGGCTTAGTCGACCGGTGCACTTCCCGTTTAAACCCCGCTCCCTCCTCCCACGGGATCCCCGCGGGAAACCGGAAAGCAACGGCGACGCGACCTCGACCGTGGAGGCCGCCTCCAACGCGGTGGGCTCCAAAAACACGCGATCCCGCAAGAACTCCAATGCGCAGCGGAGGCCAAAAAAAACCCACGACCCCGTCAGCTCCGAGAAAACCCCCCGCAAGGCGAACGAGAAAGGAGAAAAAAAGAAGAATCCAGCCGCCTCGCCGAAGGTCGCGCCCGTACCCGATCCCAACCAGCCCTTCCTGACGGGATCCGAGGACGCGCTGAAGGACCTAAAGATGTATGTTCCGGTGGAGCTTTTATCCATCCTTCGGGTGGAAGATCAGCTCATCGAGTGGTATGGCTTTTGCAGCGAACTGCGGCAAAAGATCGTGCCCTTTACGGAGAAGCTCTTCATGCCAGCGTCGGTCGCGGAGGGGGCGGGGCAGGCAAAGAATGACTCCCAAGAAGAGGCCCCCGAGGGCGGCCACGTCAGCCCGGATGAGAGCGCCACGCCCCATCACATCACGGACGACACCGCCGAGGAAGAAACCATCGATCACGAGGCCTTCGCCTCCCAGGAGGAACTTTAAAATCCAACACACTTTCAGGTGGCCCCTGGCGTTCCCCTTCCCCTCCTTTTTAGCGGAAGATTACACAATGGGGGTGCTGCTCGATGATTCTTTGATAGACTGTGGAACGGATGTTAACCTGTCGTCGCAACCGAGGTGGAATACCACAAGGACGTCAAATGATGGGATTTGGAAATGAATGCAAGATTGTACAATATAGTTTTACTTATATATATATATATATATATATATATATAAGATACGATGTAAAAAAGAGAGGGTGTTAAAAGGTCTCGCGTAGATGATACTCGGCGACCGGCCCCATAACAGCTATTTTACACCAAACATTATCTCATACGAAAGAGAAACATGGTGGATACTTGTCAAGTGGGCGCCCATATGTAGGAAATGGAAAAAAAAAACACGGACTTGACGAATAATCCACCGTGCCCAATCCCCCGCGCTTTTCCTTGGTAGAATAAAAAAAAATGATGCCTTTTGGGACCGGGTTATTTAGGGGGATGCCCTTTTCTAATGTCTTTTCTTTTCCCTTGTTTTCTTGTTCTTTTTTTTATTTCTTCTTTGTGACTCCTCGTCGTGTCACAACACCTTCCCCCCTTACGCTCACACCCTTCCAACGTAGCAATTCACGGAGAAGGCACG